CTGCTACTTCTCAAGCCTTTCTATTTATTTGTGATAATGTATATTTTAAATATAATAATATATATTAAGTCTATACTCTAAGAACAAATAGTACAGGAGTACCAACAAAGGTGTGTTTTCCCCCATACTTTTCTGCCTGTATACCAATGATTGTAGAAGCACCTTTGAAAACTATTCGATTATTAAACATGCAGACGATACTGTAATAACTGGATGTTTAAAATATGACGATAGCAACTACGGTACTTAAATGAAATAGATAATTTTGTCCAGTGGTGCGATGAGCACTATCTAGTTATAAACATGAAAAAGACTAAAGAGATGGTAAATAGTTTAGAATTACTAAAATTTAAAAATGAAACTATTGAAGTCAACGAATAAAAATATTTAGGTACCATATTACAGGTAATAAACTTAATTTTTCAACTCAATCAGAAATTACGAAACATAAAGCAAATCAATGCTCATATTTTTAAAGAAAACTTTAGCTGTTTTAATGTTGATAAGACTATATTAATCTTATTTTATAAATCTGTTGTTCATAGCATTTTAACTTTTAAAGGGAGGGGGTGCGGGGATGAAACGATTGATTTTTAATTTAAAATAGAGGGATGGGCGACCACAATGACGGTGACGGCACTCGAAAACGAGGCTCGTGAACTGGGTCCCAAAAAAAAAATGGTGCTACAGGATTTTGAGCTAGTGTTATAAGATATGGAATTTCCTAAAATGTACCGACTTTCAAATGCTTGCATTCGGTAACCCCATAAAAAATCGTGTAAATTTGGCCGTTCTTTTCATTTATATGGGTTTTCACTTATGAAAATGTCTCAATTATGTGTAAAATAACGATTTGCCCCAGTTTTTATTTCGGAAATTTGCGCTAGACAGGGAGTCAGCTGATTCACTCAACCGTAACGAGCTCGTAACGAGACACAGCCAACTGATGAGAATGGTCGTCGCGAGCGGAAAATTGAAAAATTAGGACTGGCGAAAACATTCAATAATAATAATAATAATAAAATAAGTCGAAGGCATTTTTGAAGAATGAATCTTTCAAAAAGATATGTATGCTGCTTTGGATAAGGAAGTCTTGGAAGTGGTGATCTTAATAGTGGCGTTAAATATTGGTTTGTTCAATACCAACTTGTCTTACCTGTGTAGGCATAGCCTAGCATTTAGAGCAGTACTGTATATATGTAGAGAATACGGAATACTACTGCCTGGCGCGACCTAGGCCTAGGCCCCTAGTTTAGGCCTAGGCATACAAACTATAATAATAATATTTCAAACATTAAACAAACAAACAACACTATTTTAAATAAAGTGCATTACTTTACATGTTAATTATTAGATCCATGGAACTATCTAGGATCTACTACTACTACTACTACTACTGCATTACTAAAATGCCAGTTTATTCGTCGTGGAATGTGGATGATACCTTGAAAACTAGCTAAAATTTGCGCGGAAAATGGCTTGGAAAAATGCGCAGAGATACATTGGCAATGGTTATATACAGTATAGTTCAAAGACTAATTTTCGGCGTTCTGCTCTTAAATACAACCACCTGCACTAGGCGTTTCCCTGCTGGTTCCATGCTGGATCAAAAACTAGTAGAGGGTGAAATGTCTAGCCATTTTGATGGTCAAAATACAGGGGCATTATTATTACTGTACATTAGAAAAGGTTGAGAATCAAGATAGTCTATTGTACATATACTGTTATTATCTTCATTTTTAAACTAATGTTTATTTTTATATTACAAAAAAGTATTATATTAATGAAGTAATAAATTCTATTCAAAATAATTAGGTCGCAGCTATAGTACACTACTTTGCAATGCATTTGAATATGGGCTTTTCACAGTGATGGTTAATTAGAATATATAGATTTTCAACAAAAATTATTATTGATGATTAGTGCCAGAATGATTACTTCCTTATAAAGATATTGTACTGTAATATCAATACTAATTATGTTTGAATGGTTTAAGAATAGTCACTCTGATTTTTTTTTTAACTAGTCTGTTCAAACTTTTTATTGTACTTCTCTTCTTACAGGAAATGCTGACATGATGGATATCGATGGCTTTCATCCTCATTAATGCAACAGATCTTATGTAATAGATTCATTCTTGAAAATTCATGAGACAACTGTGCTCTGTTTTTTTGACAATTTCATCACTCATGAAAGGAAATTTTGTCTGCATAGGCCTAGAGCTTTTGTATATCTGGACCAGTCAATTGTGTGTAACCTTCCAGAACTATTCTTTAATTAAAATTGTTGCTATTGATTCGGATAGGCCAGCAAAGTTGATTTCAAGAACATTTTGTTGTTAAGTACAGTACAATGTTTTTTGTATCTTCCCCACTCTCGCCTCATATTTTAAAATTTTAAGCTAATACAGTATATAAATGTAACTTGTTCTTCCCTATTTTTTATATTGGTATAAACTAGAGTAACTATAAATCCATATATTTAATATTTTGATAATAATATAGCACATCACCTTTATTTAGACAGTGCAGTTTTTAGACATTTAGGCCTAGGCCTAGACAGTTTTTCATAGGACCAGGCCTATAGATAGGCCTATAGAGTTTTTCATAGGACCAGGCCTATATAGTTAGGCCTATAGTATTATTAGTAGGATTAGGGGCCTAGGCTATTATGAAAAAATATGCACTAGCACAATTAATGTGACAAAGTCGCCATGGCATGACAAGTATAGGCTAGTAATAGAAACCTACTAACTTTACCGTCAGCTGAATAAGGCTGCGTGCGAACTCACCTGCTGCGGGACTGGAGCAGGGTTCCGGTCAGGAGTGCGTTACTTAGCTGCTGGGTAGACACTGACTGTGCTTCCTAGGCATAGGCTAGGCCTAATTATAAACAAACAAGTCTTCGGACTGATATGTACGTTTATTAATTCAATTGAATAATTCCTCCATAATTGAATTGACATTGACAAAACCGTCTCTCTGTAACTGCGTGCGTAAGTACTTCACACTACTGGACGTACGTATTGTCTAGGCTAGTTGCTCGATCGTCGGGACGATTTTTCGATCACCTACTAGCCAAAAATTACTGGTCTTGAATATTAATGAGTTGGTTAGAAGTGCTACCAAGCTACTGAAAAAAAGTGATCAGCCTCGTTTTCACCTGATTTTCCTGTCTCATCATATCATGTTTTCTTTCTGTAATTATCGTTACATCTCAACATTTTCAATTTTTTATGTATTTTTCCCGAACTCAGGAAAGGTTAAATAAGCAATATGTGGCCACTTGTCTCATCGCCAGTAATTGTGTATATTGTGTAATTCTGAATAGGTTAGGTCTAGCCTAGTACCCTAGGCCTATATATATAGGGTTAGGCTAGACCCAGGCCCGAGCCCACCTAGGCCTTGCCTAGACCTAGAGGCCAAGACCTAACCTAGGCCTTGCGTAAAAAAAGATCAGCCATTGTTAAGTGTTATGTTTCCATTTCCAATTAAAGCAATTGTTAAGTTACTTACCTAGTTCTAATGAACGTCCGTACCCCTCCCGGAAGCAACGAATATTTGATGAATTATGGCGAATTTTTATTACTTATTTGATAGGCATCGAGTTATTATTATATGCCTTCCCAGGTAACAAGCCCATAAGGGACCCATATGGTGCCCATATGCAGATCTATATGCGTACCATATGGGTACCGGATTCTGCACCCAAGTTCCACGTGGGACCCATATGATTTAGCCCACATAGCCCAGATATAACCCATTTGGGGCCCACATGGAACCCACATTAAATTGTATGTGGGTGGCATATAGGTTTCCAATATGGGACCTATATTTTCTGACCCATATGGGTACCATATGTGCTATCCTTTAGGAAACCTCCGGATTCTGCACCCAAGATCCATGTAGAGCCCATCTGATTTAGCCCATAGCCCAGATATAACCCATTTGGGGCCCATATGTAACCCACATGCATTTTTACATGGGTGGTATATGAGTTTCCCATATGGGACCTATATTTTCCCGACCCATATGGGTAACATATGGGCTATCCTTGAGGAAACCTACGGATTCTGCACCCAAGATGCATTTGGGGCCCATCTGATTTAGCCCATACCCAGATATAACCCATTCGGGGCCCATATGGAACCCACATGCATTTTTACATGGGTGGTATATGGGTTTCCCATATGGGACCTATATTTTCCCGACCCATATGGGTAACATATGGGCTATCCTTGAGGAAACCTCCAGATTCTGCACCCAAGCCCATGTGTGGCCCACATCTTTCAGAGAACCCATACGGGGCCCACATGGTACCCTTATGCATTTGTACATGGGTGGCATACGGGATTCTCACATGGTACCCATATGCATTTGCACATGGGTGGTATATGGGTCCCATTATTTTCTGGCCCATATGGATGTAATATGGGTCTGCCCATATGGGGCCCCTCGTATTCTCCACCACCCCATGTGATGTCCCATATGTGAGGCCCATATTTTCTCGCTCATATGGATGGCATATTGGTTTGCCCATATGGGAGCCTGTATGGTTTAGCTGACATGGCCCAGAGAGAACAAATATGGAGGCCACACATTTCTGACTTGGCATCTAACTCTGGTTTGAACATTGGCTGAGTCGATGACCATGAGCTAGGTGTACATTTCAACAAATTACTCCTTGTCTGAAAATAAAACTTTTCAACTGTACGTATAGTACAAAATATTTTCACTGCAATGATTAAACAAAACGGTTATTTCATTTTAACACATCACTCATTTTATTTATTTTGTAGAAAAAGCAATATTGTCAATAGCAAATACAAATAGTGGTAAAAATGAAATCAAAATTTCTTAATGTCCCTTAATAACTATACAATTCAATTTCTCCAGCTCCTTGGAAAGTAAGAATATTCCATCATTTTGATCGCATTGGGAATATCACATATTTAACGTTTTTACAGATTATGAATATCCTCAAATTGATAGGGTCCATGCAAGAGTGTATCAATAAAAATCGTCAATAGTTTCACCATGAATCATAGTATCAGAAGTACAAATGCCTTTTCCCTCATACTTTTCACAAAGGTTATTAAGAAAGTATTTAATCGCCTCCCTTTTTTCACATCTAGTTGCAACGTCGCATTTCAGAATTCTGCAAACTGGCCCTGGCAAAAAAAGAAGACAGGTCTAAAAATAATAGCATTTAAGATTTACTCGCTTAGATTTATCAAATAAAAAAAAAGACATGCAACACAAAAAAAAAATTTTGAAAATTAGTGTTTTCATTTACTTTGGTTTTTGTGCAAATTTACTTTAGGTCTGAACTATTGATATAAGTGACATGTCTCCTAACAACTTTGGGATTACGCACAATCACCACAGCACAATTATGACAAATTATTACATTTATTATGCATTAGAAGTGTGAAGTGAATGTGAATAAGATCTAATTTTAATTACGATAAAGTATTTTTACTGGGCTTCTGCGTTCGATTTACCCAGTATCGCATCGCAAAATGTGACATGTTTTACGCTAATTGCGAAGCACTTCCACAATTGCATTACAGATAAATGCAACGCATATTATTTGCCTAGAATTAACCACTCAGTCTTCAGCAAGGCCTGGCTGTAAAAACTAAGAGACTTAGTGCACAAAAAATTTCAAAGAGGTTTCGCAAATTGATAAGGGCGCATATGAAAAAATTGTTAGATTATCACTCCTGCGCACATTAACTATTTGGAAATATTGATGCGGTTATAAAAAAAAAAACCAACCCTCATCACATTTTTTTTTAAAGGAGTATTATTCCAATAATTCTTTCTATGTGCCTTAACACCTAAATTTATTCATGAGATGAACACCATACATAATAGATCATCTATGATGACAATATCTTATCATGAGTTCTAGGCTAGAAAAGCCCAGGCATAAACCTGCCTATCTGCTAGGGTTTAGCTGGCCAGACACAGCTAATAATTACATGATAATTACAATCCTCATTAACATACGATATTAATAAATTCTGTATGGTACAGTACTTGTGAAATTTTTTTGCACATGAAAGTTTAGCTGGTTTTACAGTATTAAACACTTTGAATGTCTTAAATATTATTTTATTAAGGATGTGTTGAGTACTATTAATAAGAGTATCATCCTATAATTTAATATATATTTATAGAAGCTAAACAGATTGGGTTTTACGAACAATAAAGTAACAATGTAGTGCTTAGATCCACACAGTAATACTAAACATTGTTATGTTACATGGATATTATTTCATCAGTAGCTAAGGCGAGACTTCCTTTATACCTTGTTTCGCGTACTTATTCTTCTAAAGATCATCGGAGGAGGGCAGAATAAAAATAAAGATAAAATTTATTTTTTTTTATTCAGCAAACAATCTGCCTAAAACATCCAGATGGAGGAGAAAATAAATATACAATTTTATTGGTGAATGTAAAGTAGGATGGTTAAATATTTAAAATTTATATAAATACAGTATGTATATCTTATATATTTGGAGATTTCAAGGCAGTGGAGGGCATAATGAAAATTTTTAAAAACTAATTTTTTACTGCAATTTCATTTTTTTCGTGGTGGTGGGTGTGCTAATTGCTCAAAAATATAATGTTATTTTTATTTTTAAAATATCAATATTTGCAATAGGCGGGTTCGATAAACAAGGTATAAAAAAGTCTCGCCCTAGCATTTGGTTTTTAGAATCTATTAACTTACCGATTTTGACAATCTTGAGCTTTTGAAACTTCTTAGTATTTTTGATCCAGTTCAGATGAAGTCAGGAAACAAAGTTGTTCAGGATAGATTTAAATGTTGTTAAAAAAAGTTTCAAGGCTTGAAAATACTGTAAAATATATATTAATATGTTAAGTGAATTGCGATGTAAATAAAACAAACGATTATATAATAACACCAAATTCCATCACATGAAGTAGTTGATGTATTTTGAAATTTTTGTTTTGTGATAAGTTTAAATGCGGTGTTTTGTGCCAGTTTAAATAACGTAGTCTGTTAAGGTGACTCTCAGGCTGCACATCACAAATTCAGCACACTACTGTACAGGTACACAAACAGTTATTCAAGATGTGTTAATTACTTAGTTAAAAACATAACATTTCCAGCTCATAATACAGTAAACACTTTTATTTGAAGATTTAACACAATGATTTAATAATTTATTTAGTGATTAAACTACATACTGTGCTGTTGTAGAAAATTAAATTACGTTTAATAAAAATAAAAAACAAAATTATAAATTAATTTAAAGTGCCATGCTGAACTTGGGGGAATCACCGCGGCCATGGTGGCCACGCTAATATCGAGTGCTGAAAATGCAAGTTTGTTAAAGTATGACTGCGCATGCGTTGTTTCATTTACGTAAATATATCGTTTACTGATTTGTTTACGACGACGTAAATGTATCCACTTCCATTAAATAAAGTGTAGTATTTTATGCTTAAACTAAACAGAAAACAGCTTTGAATTGTAATGCACTCCATCATGTTGGAATTCAGTATTTTGAAAATGACATTAAGTTCTGGTGTATATGTGGACTCATATATGGACAGCCTAGGCCCCCTAGGCTTGGTTGGGGGTGGGAAGTGCCTGCCAGCCAGGTCTTCTATACTAACGTTACATCACACAGTCTAGGTTAAGCCTAGGCCTAGTTATACACAATGACAGGTAGACAGGGCCTAGCCTATACACCGGCGAAAAATATAATAAGACAAAAAACGTAGGATATGCCTTGGCTTATGCCCCTAGCCAGAGAGTTAACTGGCGATCCAACGCTAGTTCAAGAAACTAGGCCAGCATACGCTTAAACAAGAAGGCCTAGGCCCAGGGAATGCAATGGTTTTGGCCGCGAATTAGGCCTAGCACATTTTAGTATAGTTAGGGAATTCAACAACAGTTAGGCCTAGGCTACACAAGTATAAATACTTACTTTTACTTCACTGTGACTTGGCAAATTTTCTTAGGCCTATGAATCTTCCTTCCTTAACACTCGCTACAAGACGACGACACTCAATGGGCGCTTCGTTTGTGAATTCAAAACTTGAAACGGGACACCGGAACTGCCAAAGACAGCTAGTTCATTGGCTTAAGTCCGATGGTCCGATCATCGCTAGCTTCATTCAAACTGGTATTTCTACTGAGCATGCGCATACACTTATTAAGTAAAAAGTACCGCAATGGAGCATTCATGTCATAACTGTAGCTACGTATAACGTCTTAAAAATAAAGTATAATTAACAGTGGGTCAGAGAGGAATCCAGGGCATAATTATCTGCCCATGTATGTGGCATGTGGGGCCCATGTAATAATAATAATAATTTTAGCTTATATAGCGCATTATGCTAAAGCCTCAATGCGCTTAACAGTAAAAATAAAATTCGGGGGGAAAAAATTAAGAAAAATACAGGTTAAAAAGGTGAGTTTTTAAAGCTGCCTTAAAATCATCAATGGAAGTTGCCTGTCGGATTGTAATAGGCAGAGCATTCCAAAGAAAGACAGAAGCCCAAGAGAAAGAACCACTACCATAATGCTTTG